ACCTCTTTCACCACTGGACAGATCTTCCAAACAAAAGTTGAATAAAGAAACTATAGAACTCAATAATACAATTAATAACCTAGATTTAATTGACATATATAGAATATACCACCCAACATCAAGCAGATACACTTTTTTCTTAGCAGCACATGGATCCTTCTCAAAAATAGATCATATATTATGTCACAGGGCAGCTCTTAGAAATTATAAAGGAGTAGAGATAATACCATGCATCCTATCTGATCATAATGGAATGAAACTGGAAACCAACAATAAAAGAAGGAAGGAAAAATCATGCATCACTTGGAGAATGAACAATAGGTTACTGAATGATCAGTGGGTTACAGAAGACATCAAGGAGGAAATTAAAAAATTCTTAGAGATAAATGAAAACATAGACACAATATATCAGACTCTATGGGACACAATGAAAGCAGTTCTAAGAGGAAAATTCATTGCTTGGAGTTCATTCCTTAAAAAAAGAAAAAAACAACAAATAAATGATCTCACACTTCATCTCAAAACCCTAGAAAAAGAAGAGCAAAACAACAGCAAAAGTAGTAGAAGGCAAGAAATAATTAAAATCAGAGCTGAAATCAATGAAATTGAAACAAAAGAAACAATTGAAAAAATTGACAAAACTAAAAGTTGGTTCTTTGAAAAAATAAATAAGATCGACAGACCCTTAGCCATGCTAACTAAGAGGAGAAGAGAGAGAACTCAAATACAGGATGAAAAAGGCAATATCACAACAGACACTTCAGAAATACAGAAGATAATTAGAAATTATTTTGAATCCTTATACTCCAATAAAATAGAAGATAGTGAAGGCATCAATAAATTTCTTAAGTCATATGATCTGCCCAGATTGAGTCAGGAGGATATACACAACCTAAACAGACCAATATCAATTGAGGAAATAGAAGAAGCCATCAAAAGACTACCGACATGATCCTATACCTAGCTGACCCAAAAGGGTCTACAAAGAAACTACTAGAGCTAATAAATGAATTCAGCAAAGTGACGGGATATAAAATCAATACACATAAATCAAAGGCATTCCTGTATATCAGCAACAAATCTTCTGAGATGGAAATGAGGACAACCATCCCATTCACAATATCCTCAAAAATAAAAAATAAAATACTTGGGAATCAACCTAACAAAAGAGGTGAAAGACTTATACAATGAAAACTACAGAACCCTAAAGAGAGAAATAGAAGAAGATTTTAGAAGATGGAAAAATAAACCCTGTTTATGGATAGGCAAAACTAACATCATCAAAATGGCGATATTACCAAAAGTTCTCTACAGGTTTAATGCAATGCCAATCAAAATCCCAAAGGCATTTCTTGTAGAAATAGAGAAAGCAATCATGAAATTCATATGGAAAAATAAAAACCCAGAATAGCAAAAACAATTCTAAGCAGGAAGTGTGAATCAGGCGGTATAGCGATACCAGACTTCAAACTATACTACATAGCAATAGTAACAAAAACAGCATGGTACTGGTACCAAAACAGGCGGGTGGACCAATGGTACAGAATAGAGGACACAGAGACCAATCCACAAAATTACAACTATCTTATATTTGATAAAGGTGCTAAAAGCATGCAATGGAGGAAGGATAGCATCTTCAACAAATGGTGCTGGGAAAACTGGAAATCCACATGCAACAAAATGAAACTGAATCCCTTTCTCTCGCCATGCATAAATGTTAACTCAAAATGGATCAAAGAGCTTGATATCAAATCAGAGACTCTGCGTCTGATAGAAGAAAAAGTTGGCTCCAATCTACATATTGTGGGTTCGGGCTCCAAATTCCTTAATAGGACACCCATAGCACAAGAGTTAATAACAAGAATCAACAAATGGGACTTACTTAAACTAAAAAGTTTTTTCTCAGCAAGAGAAACAATAAGAGAAGTAAATAGGGAGCCTACATCCTAGGAACAAATTTTTACTCCTCACACTTCAGATAGAGCCCTAATATCCAGAGTATACAAAGAACTCAAAAAAATTAAACAATAAGAAAACAAATAACCCAATCAACAAATGGGCCAAGGACCTGAACAGACACTTCTCAGAGGAGGACATACAATCAATCAACAAGTACATGAAAAAATGCTCACCATCTCTAGCAGTCAGAGAAATGCAAATCAAAACCACCCTAAGATACCATCTCACTCCAGTAAGATTGGCAGCCATTATGAAGTCAAACAACAACAAGTGCTGGTGAGGATGTGGGGAAAAGGGTACACTTGTACATTGCTGGTGGGACTGCAAATTGGTGCGGCCAATTTGGAAAGCAGTATGGAGATTCCTGGGAAAGCTGGGAATGGAACCACCATTTGACCCAGCTATTCCCCTTCTCAGACTATTCCCCAAAGACCTTAAAAGAGTGTACTATAGGGATACTGCTACATCGATGTTCATAGCAGCACAATTCACAATAGCTAGACTGTGGAACCAACTCAGATGCCCTTCAATAGATGAATGGATAAAAAAATGTGGCATTTATACATAATGGAGTATTACTCTGCACTAAAAAATGACAAAATCATGGAATTTGCGGGGAAATGGATGGCATTAGAGCAGATTATGCTAAGTGAAGCTAGCCAATCCCTAAAAAACAAATACCAAATGTCTTCTTTGATATAAGGAGAACAACTAAGAACAGAGCAGGGAGGAAGAGCATGAGAAGAGGATTAACATTAAACAGGGACAAGAGGTGGGAGGGAAAGGCAGAAAGAAGGGAAATTGCATGGAAATGGAAGGAGACCCTCATTGTTATACAAAATTACATATAAGAGGAAGTGTGGGGAAAGGGAAAAAAACAAGGGGGAGAAATGAATTACAGTAGATAGGGTAGAGAGAGAAGATGGGAGGGGAGGGGAGGGGAGGGGGGATAGTAGAGGATAGGAAAGGCAACAGAATACATCAGACACTAGTGTGGCAATATGTAAAACAGTGGATGTGTAACCGATGTGATTCTGCAATCTGTACACGGGGTAAAAATGGGAGTTCATAATCCACTTGAATCAAATGTATGAAATATGATATGTCAAGAGCTTTGTAATGTTTTGAACAACCAATAATAAAAATGTTAAAAAAAGAAGAAGAATGTATTAGGGTTTAGATATTAGGTGTTCCTCGAAAGCTCTTATGTGAGACCAGGGAAGAAGTTTAGAGGTGAAATGACTGGATTATGAAAACCTTAACCCAGTCAGTGAATTAATCCCTTGATAAAGATTAACTGAGTGGTAACTATAAGCTGGTAGGGTGTGGTTCAAGGAGTGGGTCCCCAGGTCTTGTGTTCAATCCCCAGTACCATTTGGTTAGCTAAACTTAATCTATCTCTGCTTCCTAGCGCTATATTCACAGCTACTTTTCTCCACCACACTCTTTGGTCATGATGTCTGCCTCATCCCAGGCCATAAGAAATGGAGTCAGCCATCTATGGATTGAGACCTCTGAAAACTTGAACTCCCAAATAAAATTTTCCTCCTCTAAAATTATTCTTGCTCAGTCTTTTGGTCACAGCAAAGAAAAAGCTTACTGAAACAAAAATCTTCATTTTCAAAAGTTCAAGGATTTACTATTCTGAGGCCTCTTCCAGCACACCACTGGTGCTCTCCTCATCAAGGAAATACAAATTTAGAACACAATTACAGGGGCTGGGGATGTAACTTCAGTGGTAGAGTGTTTGCCTTGTACACCTGAGATCCTGTGTTCAATCCCCAGTACCATACACACACACACACACAAAAAAAAAAAAAAAGACATATACATACTGTTACACACCACCAGAATATCAAAAATTTTAAAGTGTGGTAATTGTAAGCATGGGTGAAGATGTAGAATAATGAGAATTCTCCTATACTGTTGATGGTTAGTGAAGTCACTTTGTAAATCTCTTTGGCCTTGAGTGTCAAAGTTGAAGATCCAATAATTCCACACCCGGTCCAAAGATTTATCAACCAGTACAAGACACCCCATTTCTCATAATAGCCATATGAGTGGAGTTCCAGGGGAGTTGTGGCCCACATCATGAGTGGTCACAAACCCAGGAGGTCAGAAGGGCACTGTGGTTGCAGGAATTATGGTGTTCCTGAGTCAGTCAGAGACCCAGAACTATTGGGGAGGGGCGGGGTTTGATAGTCTCACATGCCAGGAGGAACAATGAGAGCAGCTCCCTAGCAGTGATTAAACATTGTTCCCCAGATCACAACAGAGGTGTAGGGGATCTTGGTGGTCTGAGGTGATGCCTTTTTAGCAACCTGAACATAAGTATTTTAATATTTTAAGATGGCATCCTTACTAGTATATGTAGGCTGAATATCATCCTAAATTTTCCCTAAGAAAACTCAAATACATGTGCAACAGGATACATGAAAAGAATTTTTATGCAACCGCTAAGTTATCATAAGCACAAAAAGGGAAAGGGGGGAAAAAAGGAAAAGAAAGTGGATGAATAAATTATGGTCAATTCATGCAGGGGGGGTTTCTACAGTAATGTGAATAAATTACAAGTACAGGCAATGTGAATGAATGTCACAGAGGAAAAAAATACATGAAAGAATACATACATTATGATTCTGTTCATATAATTTTAATAGATAAAACTATTATATAGGGAAGCATAGATAGATAGTAAAACCATAAAATAGGCAAGGAAAAGATTATTCAGGTTGTGAAGAAGAGTGGGTAAAAGGGAGGTTTCAGAGCAGTAGAAAAGTCCTTTATTTAATAATTATTTTTAACTCATCCTTATGTGTTTAATGTGTGTTTCTCTATTTTATATTTTGCCATAAAAGAAAAAAGTAACAAACAAAGTCTTGGACTATCTAAGAACAACAAATTTACAGCTACAATGTGACAGCAAAAGTGACTTGGTGAGAGGCAGAGCTATGAAGCAATAAAATAGAATGAAAATGATTGGAGACTGGAACAGCAGCAAAGATATTTATTCAAAGATTTCATAATACATGGACACAGAGCGCTCTGGATAGAGGTCAAAGTCTTATTAAGTCAGAAAGAAATTTCCAAGGAAAACTTTGCAAGAAAAATGGGCACCAAGGGGAAAGTAAGTAAATAAGCTACATCTTATTTCAGTGTGTGCTTTTTTGTGTCCTTGTATATTTGCTAAAAGAGGCTTCCTTCAGGTATTACTCCCAGAGCACAGCATTTAAAGTTGAATAAAAGGATATGAGTGATTCCTATGCTAGAAATTTATTCTAAGGAAATAACTGATGATTTGCCAAAATGTTTTCTAGAAGGGTACTCAATTAAATATTATTTAAATGCCAGAAAAATAGAAGTTTAAGTAACTTACTATAGCCATAAAACAATATTAATTGGTAGAAGAAAGATTACAAAATACTACATATACTATGAACACATTTGGGATACTCAAAGGGATTTACATCAAAAGCATAAAATGAGTAATAAAAGTAGAGATGAATTTTTTCCTTTTTTGCATTTTGAAACTTCCTGTAATTAATATACATTTCATTTGTAATAAAATTAATGATAATTATAAACATAATTCTAAGTCATACGAAACTATTGAAAATAGATCTTAAAATGGTCAAAGACTGAGAAAACTATTTTAAAATGTAGTTAGAATGGAGAATTATAAGTTCATTTCTTTAAATGTTGCTTATATTTGAAATAAAAGTAGAATTTGATGCTAGAAAAAAATTTTAATCCTGGGATTATAGAATCCTAAATGTTTAAATTTCTTTTCAAATGTGTTTACCCAAATTATTGCAAAGAGACAAAATTTTTATTTAACTATAGCCTACTAATAAATTTAGTAATTTTGTGAGCCTCACTTTTCCAATTTTTTATGAATCACCTAGGGATTTTGTTCAAATGCAGATTTCAATTTAGTAGATTTGGGCAGGACTTTCTTCTCTAAGGAGTTTTTCCAGATAATGTGAATAACTGCTGGTCTTGTGACCACACTTAAGTAATAAACATACAAAACACATCTGTGTTCTAACAATGAAGACTCAGGTAACTCAGAGCAGCTTACAAATGGTTCATTCAACAAATACTTATTGGCTATCTACCAAACCTTTTAAAGACTATAAATGTATCTTCTTTGTTAAGGAAAAAAATAAAATAAAAGCACTAGGGTTAATCTTAACACACCTGTTTTTTTAATAAAAAGTGTAATGAGTATAATGTAGAATTTAATATGTTCAATTAAGTTTCCTTGTCTTAAAAATAAAAATAAAATAATTAAATATGATATCCAACCACAAACACCTCAACTGTTTTTCATAAAAATATGGTATCAGCACACTGTTTTTATCCCCACAACATCCTGTGTCCTGTCTCCCTCCCTCCCTCCCCCCCCCCCCCCCTCTCTCTCTCTCTTTCTCTACCTCCTTTCTCTCTTTCAGGTTATTAAATGCAAAGCAGCCATTGCCTGGGAAACAGACAAGCCCCTTTGCATTGAAGAGATTGAAGTAGCTCCCCCGAAGGCTCATGAAGTTCGAATTCAGGTGAGTGGAACATTTCCCTGCCTGAAAGGGACTCTCAGCACAAAGTACTCCATTTCTTTCAGTTATGTCCTGTAATGGTCTGACTGAGAGTCTTGTTTTCACTGTGGAGGAGCTGTATTTTTAGGTCCACATAAAAATGGGCATTATCCCCAAGAAGGATAAATTATTGATCATTTTTGTAATTTTTGATGATGACTTAAAATTTAGTTGAACAATCTTAATCTTGATTGTCAACCCTTAATCAGACAAAAGAATTTGCTTTGGCTTAGAATTAGTTTACTTTTTATTATTCAATTACCAATTATTGGAAAGTGTTTTTTTAAAAAAAGAGAGACCCAAAACAAGGAAGAAGGAAACCCTTGAGAACTGTCCTGGACATTATGAGGGCCTAGGTGCCCAGAGGAATGGCAGGAATGGGTCATCAGAGAGAAGAACAAAGAACAATGTCACAGTTGGCATACTTGGACATGGTCTCCATTTTTTTCTCAGGGCATAGTTGGACATGGTCTCCATTTTTTTCACATTACATATGTGAAAATGAATGGGATAGCCTCATGGACAGATCCTAAAGAATTATACAAGATACATTGATAATTAATTATAAAAATATCTGTCTTTTAACTATAAAAGATTTATTACCTTGCATACAATCTCAACAAAACTTGAACAAGCTATAGAAACCCACATTCCCTCCATTCCCTCTGCCTAATAATTACTTATACCTATTACATTTGCTTTTTCCTCTCCTGGAGATAGTAATTACCAATCCTATCTCTCTCTCTCTCTCTCTCTCTCTCTCTCTCTCTCTCTCTCTCTCTCTCTCTCTCTTTGGTAGACACAATATCTTTATTTTGTTTTTATGTTATGCTGAGAATCGAACCCAGTGCCTCACACATGGAGCGCGCTACCACTTGAGCCACATCCCCAGCCCCCAATCCTATCTCTTTTTGTGATCTTTCTGACAACAATGAAAGGTAGAAAACACAAGTGCTTTACAGGAGGAAAAGAATCTAATCTCGTATAGTTTTTATTCATTCTTTTTTCTTAAAATGTAACAATTTTATTGAGTTATAGTAGTGTTGTAATGCTTCAATATGACATTGGGCTTAAAATAATATATAATATCTAATCCAATAATATAACTGCAGAAACACCACTCAAGTCTGTGATTGCTTTATAGGTAATTGCCACTTCCATATGCCATACTGATGCCAACAGTATTGACCCTAAATTTAAGGAGGCTCTTTTTCCAGTGATCCTTGGCCATGAATGTGCAGGAATAGTGGAAAGTGTTGGGCCAGGAGTGACCAACTTCAAAGCAGGTATTTTAATTTCTGATTCCAATTAAATAAAAATCTCAGTGTTTTGTGTGTGTGTGTTTGATAATTTCACGTAGCCCGTGTGATTCAGCTTCTCTGATATACAAGGATGTTCTGTTCCGTGCAGAATATTTGGAAATGTAATAAACAATAGTCATGCTATAGAGAGTTGCACTAATAGCACCATCTCTGACAGAACTCTGTACCTGATAATACCCATTTGGATTTGTTAGTTGATTCGTAAGAACTTTTTTTAAAAAAAAGTATATACAAAACTTAAGAGAATGCACAGTCATGTAAGGTAATAAATATTTTAGCTACCTGTACTTTCAGTTGAAGATAAAATTTATACTATAAAAATGGTGTTTTCCACTGATTCATCTGCAGTAAACTATTTACAAGTATCATCTTTAGGCACTATCCAATATGTGGCCTTTCTTTCTAGGTGACAAAGTCATTCCATTCTTTGCACCTCAATGTAAAAAATGCAAGTTCTGTCTGAGTCCTCTCACAAATCTTTGTGGAAAACTCAGGTAAGCTTTATACACTGGTAATGAGAGTATACATTGGCATGAATACTTGGGGCAACACATTGACAACACCCAAATGGAGCTGAAGAGAAGCAATCCTGCCCCCTAATTCCACTTATAGGTATATACAAGACACTGTTCCAAATGCATACTAAGAGACATATGCTAGAATGTTCCTTGCAACATTGTTTATAACAGCAATCAACTGAAAGCAGCATTAATGAACATCAATAAGGTAGTAACACAATGGAATATAATATAAAAATGAAAATGGCAATGGCTGGAGAGTCTAAATCTTTATTACTCTGTTTGTATTTTACTGAGACTATAGGATTCATTTTTCCTTAATGATGATTGAAACTGGTTATTTAAGAAGTTAAAATGATACCACTCTAAAAATGTTTTATTGTGCCTTGATTATCTTACCTATAAAATAGGGATGATAATATCAGCTGCTTTGTAAAATTGTTAAATATATTCAAAGAATTATACTATTTTGCAAAGTTTCGATGAAATAATGGATTTAGACAATGATCATAAATTATAATATCACAAAAAGAGATGATCAGAAATTATGTCCCTCCAGATGAAATGCATTATACCACCTTTGAAGTATTTCCACAAAACTATAAAACCTGAATCACATCAAGCATTTATATTTTTAAATGCTTATTTAGAAAGAAAAACAAAAACAGAGAAAGATGTTAAACCAGATTTCATGAATGTGATTGGCAAAATCCACTAAGAGGAAATTTCTATAGAACAAATGACTCAGTTACAACAAACAAATTGCAAAAAAAAAAGAAAAGAAAAAAAAGAGGAGAGGAAAGAATCTACAAATTAAAAGAGATTCAAGATACATGTCAACCAAATGCAATATGTGGACCTAAAAAAATCTGAGAAAAACCAGGAGACATGGCCCATGCCAGTAATTCCAGTAGCTGAGGCAGGAGGATCACAAGTTCAAGGTCAGCCTCAACAACTTAGCAAGACCTTGACTCAAAATTTTAAAAAATAAAAAGAGTTGAGTATGTGGCTCAGCAGTAAGACACTCTGGATTCAATCCCCAGTACCACCCACACACACCAAAAGAAAAAATCTCACAAAGAAAGAAAAAAAAAGAATCTTTTAGAGATACATACTGAAATATTTCTATATAGATGAAAATGGTAATGTCTGAGATTTGCTTCAAAATAGTCCAAGGCAGGGAGAGAGATACAGATTGTGGAGGGGTAATAGATGAGAATAGATTGCCCTTGAGTTGATAGTCCTGAAGTTGGGAGATGGGTATGTGGGAGTTCAGTATGCTATTCTACTTTCGTATCTATTTGTATTTTCTGTAATAAAAAAATGTATGAGCTAGTATACATACAGCCCTTGCATTTAATGAAAGTTTGTTCTTACCTTTAAAATACTTCTAACAGACTATATATTAATGTGAAAAGTGACAAGTTATTTTCTCAATTTTTCCATCTTAACTCCATAAAATTGCCATTAACAAATAAAAACATCCAACATTTTTTGTTGGGAAATGGTCCGTCCCATTTACTTTCTCCTTCTCTCTCTCTCTCTCTTTCTCTCTCTCTCTCTCTCTCTCTCTCTCTCTCAGGAATTTTGAAACTCCTAATATTGATCAAGAACTAATGGAAGACAAAACCAGCAGGTTTACCTGCAAAGGAAAATCAATTTACCACTTCATGGGAGTCAGTTCATTCTCTCAGTACACGGTGGTGTCAGACGTCAATCTTGCCAAAATAGATGACCATGCAAACTTAGAGAGAGTTTGTCTGATTGGATGTGGATTTTCATCTGGCTATGGGGCTGCAATCAACACTGCCAAGGTAAATTGTTAAACACAGATTGTGTAAAACAGAGGTTACTGGGAGGCAATATGATAGGAAGGACATAGAATTAATTATCTTCAAATGCTGGCTATGTCATTTATTACCTGTGACTTTAAGCAAGTTATTTAATTCCCAAGGATAATATCTACTACAAATACTTATATAATTAAATTATATTACATATATAAAACATCTGGTTTAATAGCCAGCATATAGTTGGCACCTATAAGTGTTACATATAATACCAGAATATTTGATTAAAGACTAGCCCTGATTTAAATACATCCTGTTTAAATATGTTCCATAAATATAAATGCTCATCCTGGGACACTTGACCCAAAGGGCAACAGAAAATATAGAAACCCTCAACCACCTTCCTCCAGCCACCTCTACCTTCTCCCTGATGCTGTAGATTTTTCTCTGTCAATCAAGAATAACTCATCTCTGCCTTTCATCCTATCCCTTCAAGGCTTCAAAAGAGTGTCTCTGGTAGCAGTCCTGAGGGTGGCAAGATGTGTCCCTGGAATCACATGTTAGAATTTAAAAATTTTACAAGGCTATTTAAGCTACAGACCAGAGAGACATCAAGCAAGGCCTTCTTATTTTAACCTCCCTCATGTCAGTCTTCACCCCTTGACTCAAAACTGCAAAATGCAGCCAATGTGGTCTTTCTAAACAACAAACAAATCTGTTTTCCCTCTTCTTGCATTGTTTCTTTTCTCCCTAAATAAATCCCTCAGTGGGCTACAGTGACTCTTTTTTGCCCTTTGCACTATTCACAATTCCCAGGGCCCCACGCTGAGTCCTCAGGCTTCACTCACTGAGGTCTCTGGGCCTTTCCACCTGGGTTGTACCAGTATAGCAGAGTAGACTCCCCAATCTCCCTCAGGCTGTCTCCCTTTAGATATCAGTTCTTCTTAAGAGCTATTAACTCTGCAGCTTTCTCTTATTTACTTTATTAAATTATTTTATTTAATAAAAATCATATATGTGACAAAATGTAATGTCCTAATATATTCATACATAGTGATATGATTAAATCAAGCTAATTAACATATCCATCACATGACTTTCTTTTTTCTTGTGGTGAAAATTAAAATGTGCTCTCTTAACAATTTTCAAACATACATTATTATTTATCAACACCATGTCCTACAATTTATTTCTCCTAACCAAATATTGTGTTCTTTGACCAACATCTCCCCAGTTCCTCATCCCTCCTCCTCCCGGGCTCTGGTAAACCACCATTCTGCTCTCCACTTTTAGGAGTTCAATTGTTTTAGATTCCATCTCTAGTAAGATTCTGTGTCTTACTGTACTGAATTGTCTTTCTGTACTGAATTCTTTTGCATAGCATAGTGTCCTCCAGGTTCATCCATGTTGTCACAAAGGACAGGATTGCCTTCTTAAGACTGAATAGTATTCCATTGTGTATATAGACCACATTTTCTTTATTCATTCATTTGTTCATGGGCACTTAGCTGGATTCCATAACCTGGCTATTGTGAATAACACAGCAATGGATATAGGAGTGCAGCTACCTCTTCAATATACTAATTTCATTTCCTTTATATATATATATTCAGAGATAGTTTTACTAGATCGTATGGTAGTTCTATTCTTTAATTTTTTGAGGAATCTCCATTCTGTTTTCTATAATGGATATACTAACTTACATTTCCACCAACAGTGTACAAGGGTTTTTTTTTCTCCACATTTATGCCAACATTTGTTATCTTTTGTCTTTTTTTAAATTTATTTAATTTATTTATTTTAGTTGTTGATGGACCTTTATTTTTTATTTATATGTGGTGCTGAGAATGGAACCCAGTGCCTCACACATGCAATGCAAGCACTCTATTGCTGAGCCACAACCCCAGCCCTCTTTTGTCTTTTTGATAATAACAATATTAACAGATGCAAGAAAATAGCACATTGTGGTTTTTTGCATTTTTCTGATAGAGGTTTCAAGCTAATTTTTTAACATACCTATATGTCTTCTTTTGGCATATATGTTTCTCTTTTGAGAATTATCTCTGTCCTTTACCTATTTTTTTAATTGGGTTTCTTGTTTTCTTACTAGTAAATTGTTTGAGTTCCTTATAAATTTGGGGGATTAACACCTAATCAGATGTACTACTTGCAGAAATACTCTCCCATTTCATAGCTTGTCTCTTCACTCTGTTGGTTGTATCTGTGGATGCACAGAAGTGTTTAAGTTTGATGTGATCTCAGTTGTCTTATTTCCTGTGCTTTTTAGAGTTACACGCAAGAAATCATTGCCTTGACCACTGACATGAAGATTTTTCCCTATATTTTTTTTTCTCGTAGTTTTACATTTTCAGGTCTTAACATTTTAATCTTTAATTCATTTTGAATTGATATTTGTATATGGTATAAAATAAGGATCTACTCTCATTTTCTATATATGGATATAAGTTTTCCCAGCACCATTTATTAAATAGATTGTCATTTCCTCATTGCATAAATTAAAGCAAGTGATGTTTGTCCTCTCTGTTACTTATTTTATTTCCAATTTAAAAGATGTTAAAAATTTCTCTGGGACATATTTTCTCTTTCTCTCTCTCTATTTCTTTTCTTTTTGGGGGAGGAGGGGCTATGATTTAATCCTAACAGCTTGCCATCCTCTTTGGGAAATATTAATTAAGCATCTCTCTATATTCTATACTAGTAAGTAGAATAAATATACCAGTTATAGCATCTTTTCTTACCATTTTGTATAGTGTTCATTTAATTCAATATAACAAGCATTTATTCAAGACTCAACACAGAGAAGACACTCTTTGAAAATAATGGAGAAGATTAAAATGTCTCTGCCTTTAAAAAAAACTTAGTCTTTAAAGAAACACATACACATAATTATTCATGGCATCTTCAATATAAGTTTTTTGTGAAAGGAAAAGCAAAAGGATAGGCACTATTTCTAGCTGAAGAATTAAGAAAATTTTCATGAAGAAATATGCTTTATATCAGAAATAGAAGTACAGGTTAAGTTTTTTTGTGTTTTGTTTGTTTGTTTTTGTTTTGGTCTGTGTGTGTGATGCTGGGGATTGAACCCAGGGCCTTGTGCATGTGAGGAAAGCACTCTACTAACTGAGCTATATCCCCAGCCTAGGAATAGGTTTTAATTAGAGGAAATTAAGATCAAAAGTACATCAGGCTGAAAGAACAGCAGGAAATAAGGCATGAGGAGAGGAAAGTGCAATGATTTGTTGTGGGTGTTGTAATGGGAATATCATGGAGATGGAGCTGGAATGTAAACAGAGGTCAGAGAGCAAAGATCCTTCAATGCCATGCAAATATATTTGGACTTCAATTCCATTTAAATGAATTAACAATTTAGAATGATCAAGTGAGTCAATTCACATTTTAGAAAGTATTAGTGATCCTTGAAAACTATAGTGTTAATAAAGCTAAATTAGATTTATTAGAAATATAGATGTCAAATGACCTATAATCCAATTTAAGAAGAAAAAAATAAACAGTTTAGAATGTCTGGGGTTTTGAATTTTGTTCTGACAACATTAAAGGAAAAGTAAAACAAGGGAATTATTTCCACTTGGGTTAGTCTCTTATGCACTGATAACCTTAATAGATTTTAAATAATTCTCCAAATTTAAGTAGAAATGCATCATTTTCACATTGCTAATTTTTTTTTCTGTTGGCAACATATATACCTTACAACAGGCAGTCTTTTATTTATATGTTTGAACATTCATCTCACCCTCTCCTTCAAAAGAAAAAAAAATATAGGACAGCTGCTTTATTTATTTTATTATTATTATTATTATTATTATTTACTGGGGATTAAACCAGGGGTGCTTTACCACTTAGCTACATCCCCAGCTGTTCTAATTTTTTGAGACAGAGTCTCACTAAGTTACTAACAGTCTTGCTAAGTTGCTGGGGCTTGCCTCATACTTGTGATCCTTCTGCCTTAGCTATCCAAGTCACTGGGATTACAAGCACCACACGTTGCAGGACTAGCTTCTTTAACAGTGTCTCTACCTACAGGTCACACCTGGTTCTACTTGTGCTGTTTTTGGCCTAGGAGGTGTAGGTCTTTCTGCTGTAATTGGTTGTAAAATAGCAGGAGCTTCCAGAATCATAGCTATTGACATCAATAGTGAAAAGTTTGCAAAGGCCAAAGCCCTAGGAGCCACTGACTGCCTCAATCCTAGAGACCTGGATAAACCTGTTCAGGAGGTCATCATTGAATTGACCAATGGAGGTGTGGATTTTGCCATTGATTGTGCAGGAGGATCTCAAACTATGGTATGTATATTTTTTTTTCCTCAGATATATTCAAATTTATAGACACTGAAATTCTTCATATATTGCCTGTATGTTCTGGTTGGCTGTTTACCTCATTTTATTTGACTTAATAGTCAAAGAGGGCATTTCTCTTATTTCTCTTTTCCTTTCTTTTTTTCTTTTTTGGAAGTACTGGTGATTGAATCCAGGAGTCTCTACCACTCGGCTACATATCCAGCCCTTCTTAAAATTTTTTTTTATTTTGGAACAAGTTCTCATTCATTTCCCAGGCCAGCCTTGAACCAGAGATCCTCTTGCCTCAGCCTTCCAAGTCACTGGGATTACAGGCATGTACCACTGTGGCTGGCTAGCTGGGGTAAGGGGCATTTCTTTAGCTAATTAAAAATTAAGAAACCCCCCAAATTATCTTTTAGGAATAAAAAACTGGAATGAGAATGAAATTGGGAATATTATTTCTAGCCTAATATGTTGAGCATTTAAAAGGAAACTCAAAAGAAAAATCAACTTCTACAAATAATCAACAAATAATGCTAGCGTGGCTGCTTATCACAAGAGAAAAGTGAACTCACAAAGATAGACAGTATTGGCATTTGGGAAGTGCTGTGGTTTGAATGTGCTGCTCAAGGTTCAAGTGTTGAGAGTTTGGTCCTCTGTGTGATCATGAATTTGATCTTAATGATCTCTAATCCTCTAGTTTAGCCTACAGAACCCAATTGAACAATTACAAAGTTAAAACAGTTTACAGTTCAAGAAAGTTTTGCCAATTCAACTAAAAATAGTTCTTACCAAAAGTTATCACTGTCTACCAAATGAAACCCTGTATTTGCATATAGTGCCATTTCAACCAAGTCATCATTATAGAGGATAATTCCTTGTTTGGAGCAATGCTCCAAAATGTAGGAAAGGAAATAGGAAAAGCATTAAAAACAAAAACAAAACAAGAGTCAACTTGTAAAGAGTAAACAATTACTTTAAGGAGACAAGTAGTGCCTGTGGTCTTTTCCTCTCTCCATGTGTCTTTTGATACAGTATATGTAAACAAAAATGTTTCTGCAATACAATAAGTGCAGAGAGTAGAAGTATTAATCTTCAGAAGTGTTTACAATTCTCAAAACAATAAATAAACACATATTCAAATAAAAAAATTCAAAACACCTCCCAAAAGTTCTACATCATTGCATCTTCCATCACTGGTATGAGAGGAAGAAGGGAGAGAGATTGATTGCTTCTTTCATACAGTGATCAGTGATGTGAAGGAGGCTATTACAACATCTATAAAAGTTAAAATTAACCCAAAAGGTCAGAATCAAGTTGACCACAAGCCATGTGGTACAAAGTTTACACTTTTCTTCTATAGAATCAGTCTCAAAAGATTAAAATTGTGTATCTATTTACCTTAGGATTTCTAAATGGAATGGTCATTCATAAGTATATATCTTCTTGAAGCTTATTTACATGTTCAGTTCTTGGCATTTTAATATTAACTGCAAATTTGCAGTAGGTTAACATAATAATGTTCTCTCTTTCCCTCATGCAAAGATCAATGTATGTCCAAGCAACTCTCCTGAGCCACCGTCTTCCATGTGATAACTCAGCAATCAAGGAAATGTAAACTCCTGGCTTCAGTCTCAACTTGAGGCCATCTTTGTTGTTAGAACAAGAGAAAAGATGGTTGGCAGGATGCAATCTACCTGTGAGAGGGCTTAAAAAATGTAGGAAAGCAGATGAAATGTTTAATGAACAGAACAGTGTTATTTTCTATTAAGACTTTTGCCCTGTGTTTTGAATAGCATTGTTTTATTTATCCTATCTTTTTGTTTGTTTGTTTTTTAAGTTGCAGATGGACATAATACCTTTATTTTATTTATTTATTTTTATGTGGTGCTGAGGATCAACCCCAGTGCCTCACACATGCTAGGCAAGCCATCTACCACTGAGCCACAATTGCCAGCCCCTATTTATCCTATCTTTACATCTTCTAAGTACATAGTGTACTCCTCATTTCTTAGGCTCCAGGAAATAACTGATTTTTCATGACTTTTAAAGATTTTGATCCCAGGTCCCTGGAATTGCAGATATTTTAGTAAATGCCCATGGTGGATTATCAAAACCTTGTTGATTAAAGTTTATAACATCTTTTTTAGATCTTTCCTAACTCCGTGTATGTATGCTTCCCTTGATACCCAATGATTTGTATTGCAGAGTCAGTCTAACTACTGTATTGTACAGAGTAAAATAATTGTTTTATTTGTTTCTTTTTGGATAAGCTAAGAATTATATTGAATGTTCTATCTATAACACAACACTACAGCCTCAAGGATCAATCTACAATGACAGTATAACCTCATTAACTTGAATCCCAGTATCTAGTATGCAGAGTTCGATACATTTTTCCTAAACATTGTATATATCAACACTGGAGTTTATGTACTACTTTTCTACTGTCTCAGGTAATCTTTGTTTCACTTTCAGAGAGCAGCCCTGGACAGCACAGTAGTAGCTTGGGGATCATGTACTGTGGTTGGAGTAAAGTTTGGTGACAAAGGATTGGAAGTTTCTCCAATAGAGCTACTATTGGGCCGCAAGATAAATGGAACATTCTTTGGTGGTTAGTTTTGGGTTTTTTTTCTTTTCTGTCTTCATAGCTCTTAATTTTCTTCATAGTAGTACAAAAATTCTTAGAATAAAGATTATGGAAAGAAAATAAAAATAAATTATTTAAATAATGAGTACATAGAATATATGTAAAGAGTACAGAAAACTGTTCTATTTATTAACTGAAAGTAAGTGAAGTTTATATGAAAACTACAATTGGCAAATTGAAATTTAATTCACGTTACATTGAAATGAACACAGATGAATAAAAGGTAAACTTTGATTTAATTGAGGAAGTTCCTTATCTAGAATAGAAAATAGTCTTGAATTTTGCTTATGAAGAAAATTTTTGTAAAAGAACAGAAAGTTAAAGATGGAGGGAAAGAGTTTAATCATTTGAAGCAACATGGATCTGACCTAATAATTTCATTCATTCAGCAAACACACTGATGAAACACTTTCTTCATGTCAAGTACATGTATTTATTTATTTGCATTTTGGCCAAATTATAGGTTGGAAAAGTGTAGATTCTGTCCCAAAGCTGGTTAATGACTACAAGAATAAGAAATTTGATCTGGATGCATTGGTGACTCATACCCTGCCTTTTGACAAAATCAATGAGGCATTTGACCTGATGCACCAAGGAAAAAGGTAAATTACCAAATAAATGATTGAGTGTTTAGAAAAAATTTATGATGATTTTATTTTTTAAAAAATAATTGGTTTGTCTTTTCTGATTTTCTATGTCATAAATACTAGATTTGCTAGTACTTCTAGAAAATATATTAAATAATGGTCATTTAAAAAAAGATAAAGGCTTCTATTTCTATAATATACACTGCTACCACATAGAGTACTATTATAAATTGACATATTTTTTTTTCTCTTTCACAAATAAATGTTAACTCAGTTGGGTTGATCCCTGGAAGGAGAGGTTTCTATAGTTTAATGTTAGATCCCTATGATACAATATATTCCTAAATCTGGAAACATTATGTTTGGCAATTTTATACAAAGTGCTTATTCTACACCCTTCATGATCTGTGAAGCCATGGAAATGGGAGAAGAGTGACAGGTACAGATACATAATAAATGCTTCAATTCTCTCATTCTCTTGCTTTGTCACGAGGCTCCTATAGGATACCCCGACTGACAATTTTAGCTATATTGTGTTGTCTTTTCTTTGGAGCCTAAGGATTGATTTATAACAATGTCCCAATTGATGAGTTCCTAGGGGTTGGGGTAAGACTAGTATCAATGATTTTAGTTAAAATATCCAAGCAGTCTTGATCTACAGATTCAAAGAGAAAAACACCAAGAACAATGATATAGAGGAGATGCAGGATAAAGAAGAAATGAAGAGAGAAAACAGCAAAGGGCTGGGAGGCATAGGTCTTTGGTATCAGTACCCAGACTACTTCATGGGAAGGAAACCTGAGAAAATATTCCCACTGACATAAATCCCCAATTTACAAACATGTTATCCACAAAATATCAAAAAGAAGTTCAATAAAAAAAAAGAAAATATAAAATGTTGGGGTTTGTTTTTAGGGAGTTTTTTTGGGTTTGGTTTGGTTTGGTTTTGTTGTTTTTTCAGTCTTGGGAATTGAACCCAGGGACATTCTACCTCTGAGATCCATCCCTAGTCTTTTTAATTTTGAGACAGAGTCTTACTAAGTTGATCAGATTGGCCTGGAACTTTAGATCCTCCTGCCTCTGCCTCCCAAGACACTGAGATTACAGGCACGCACTACCCTATAAATATTATTTTTTAAAAAACCACATAAATTTAGTATATAAGCCCTAAATAGCTTACAAAATCTCAATATGTCCATAGGAATATTCCTCAGGTTAGGAGTTGGGTTGGAGTTTAGAGCCTTAGAATCTGGTGGTCAGCTCCTCTGCCACAACCCCTTGACCCTGGAGTTCTTGGTCACCGATATACCCACAAACTAAATGAAAATGCTGCATTGCTTTATTAGATGGGCAAGCCTCCCATAGTCTAGTAATTAGTGGCAGAGTAGAAGCCTAGGGACAGATGTGTGAGTGGGCCTTTCTACTCCCTCACTGGCTCCCTGAGGAAACCACCTGACCACCCACACAGATGAAAAGATGGCAACAGGAAAAGCAGAAGATGGGCCTTTCCATACACACTTACCATATGGGAACAGGAAGCACCCAAGAGGACAGATTTTCCCAACAAACCAACTGTACAAAAACAAGGGAATGGATAGAAGGGGATGGGGCACCATAACTGACTAGCCTGCTAAGATGAAGTGAAGCTGCCTCAGAGTGAGGAAAGGACACAGAGGTTCTCCCTCCACAGGTAGATGTAGCCTCCAGTTCCTGGGTGAAGAAAATATTTAGGCATGATACCCTAATGATTGCCAGGGCTACACAGCTCCAGAGTAATGTCTGAGAGAAAGAATTTTCTGTCTTTGAGGCTTATCTCCCTACTTTGTTTCCAAATGTTAGAATTATCAAGAATTGAAAACATTCAGATTCTCAGAAAGTAACATCTCAATACAACAAGTTCCCCCTCCTTTGATGTCCAACTTGCCCTTGGCAATAGGAAAGCCAAGAGCAGTGACTATTCCAAGCCCCCTAGCTTTCTAGTACCATCTATATAACATTATTAATGCTATGAATGGGAGAGGATGAAAAAATAAAAGAAATAAGACTTTACAACGTGAATGTTTATAAAAATTAGACCAAATCCTGAAATGAAAAGACAAAAATTATTTGTTGGCTTTGGCTAAATGTTTCATGTAAATTGTACTTATTATTGTTTTATTGTTATTAACAGCATCCGAACAGTCCTGACCTTTTGAAGATGCCAGTAACAATTTGGAATACTATTCAATTGAATCTGAACCTGTCTGATTAATATATTACCTGAGAGGATGAACCAAAGAAAGCTATGAGCTGTAAATGCACATTTCTGTTAATTTCTCAACATAAAATATCTATAAATGTATTACATTTATATTTATATATATTTAAAATGTATTCAAATTTCCTATATTAAATAATTATGATTACTGAAGTATTCATGAATAGAACCATGTGATGTTTAGAAATTGTTTAAAATTAGTTCTGGGGAGGTGAGAGTGGGTGATGAAAGAAAAACCATACATTTGTAATTTTTGAAGTTGGTAGAGGAAACTGCAAGGAATTCCACTATACTGTTCTCTCTACTTTTGTCTATGTTAAGAATTTTCTACAATTCACCAATTTTTACTGGAAAAAATCACTATATATTATATACATATATAAAAAAATACTATCAAATAGTTTTTGTTTGAATAAACTATAAACTACTCTTTTAAATATCTGTTATTTAAAAGATTTTCTTTTCAATATCTGTTAATTTCTTTTCTCTTAGCCTTACTTTATCATTAGGTACTATAATCATACTATAGGATATAAGAATCTACATAATAAAGATTTTGGGGGGAGGGTGCTGGGGACTGAACTCAGGAGTACTCAATCACTAATCCACATCCCCAGCCCAATTTTGTATTTTATTTAGAGACCGGGTCTCACTGAGTTGCTTAACACCTCACTTTTGCTGAGGCTGGCTTTGAACTCACAATCTTCCCATCTTGGCCTCCCTAGCTGGGGGGATTACAGGCATGTGCCACCACACCCTGCATATAAAGATTTTTAAAAAGAAAAAAAATACATCTACCACCTCAAAGTTCTACCTGAAATAACTGCCATTTAATCTTTAATAATTATCATGATATATAATGTTTAATGCTTTACAGTTCAATGATCTGTAATTGGCACTAATGTTATTTTCTATAGTCAGCTAAAGGTAATATGAGCAGCTACTTACATTGCTTACTAATAAAATAATATAGGAAGTAAAAATATTCATAAATTTAACAGTAAGATTTATATAAAAAGTAGCAAAATGGGAGTTTTCAAGCTATCATACTTATAGATACTACAATGGACAGTTACAAAGGATAAGATACATAATATCAAATAAGAAAGACAAGATCCTAATCTGGAATAATTTCTGAAATCTCATTTTCTTTAAAAATTATCTATCTAACTGGGAGAAAAACATCTCTGAAATTTTGGCTGAAGAGGGTAGCAAGATCTCAAAGCAGAAATATATTCCTGCTTATTTTTCTAATTAGAAATAGGTGCTGGTTGATTTATCTGTAAACAATTCCTTGGTTGGCAATGTGGGGACTAGGACACACTGCTTAGGCGGTTGCTTTTCTGGTGCAATTCCCTTTATCAGTTATCATCTCTCTCCTCCTCCTCTTTTTTGTTTCCTTGAATCCTTCATAGGTTCAGTTTGAGACCCACCTCCTACTCAAATGTTTGCAGCCTCAAAGCTGTTTTCATTCCCTGATCTCCTTGGGTATTTAGTGTCTTTACTGAAATCTTAACATTCAACTGCTTCTGGTTTGTTTTTTTTGTTGTTTTTTTTTTTTCTTCAAACATCCTTGAATCTATCCTCTGTCCTTTGCTAAATAAATTTGTGTTGCTTGATAACAAAAGCTTATCCTCAGAGTGTCCAAATAGTTTATATTTACTCCTTTTTTGTTTAGGCAGGCATTGTGGGAGATTGAACCTAAGGCCTTGCACATGCTGGGTAATCTCTCTACTACTGAGCTACAATCCCAGCGCACATACACTCTTTTAAGTGAAATTTTTCTAAAACATTTTTTATATTCATCTTTTTTTCCAAATAAAGAATCCCAAATCTACTCCTAATAACTCATATTTATTATGATCATTAATTTTTATGAATTGTGATACAGTGACCTCTCCCTATCACTCCTGTAGTAAGTGTTCATCAATCTTCTAATTTCCATATCTACTTCTGTGATTTGAACAACAAAACATCTTATTTTTTAATAACAAAAGCAGTTAGAAAGTTGGATACAGTGACCCTGTTTGTAATCCCGGCAATTCAGGAAGCTGAGACAGGAGGATTGCAAGTTCAAGGCCAGCCTCAGCAATTTAGTGAGACCCTGTTTCAAAATAAAATATAAAAAGGACTGAAGAGGTAGCTCAGTGGTAAAGCACCTCTGGGTTAAAAAAAAATGCTGTTAAAATTATTTGTATAGTCAGTGAAACCCTAGAGTAAGGTGCATAGGGTTTAAGGCTCAACTTTAGTCATTCTTCAGTACATGCACCCAGATGAAACTCCTAGTTGATGTAAAGAGTGTACAATTCTCCAAAATGGATACCTAATGCCCAAGTTACCCAAATATATCTCTCCCAAAATTAAGAATTAATGTTGAATCTTTATATGACACATAGAGTTGGGGGGGGGGAACCACATACCAGTAACACAATTGGCAATATGTAGAAAACTTAAGAATCATACTTCAAAGGCATCAAAAAATATGCAAACTACTGACAATTGACCCCTTTTCCTGATTGCTCTCATATTCATTCTTCACTTAAGATTGCTTTTTTGAAAGACTAGGGGCAATAGGATCTACAACATTTCTAGAGTATCAAGCCACTGAAACAAAGAATAGAACTTCACTCCTTCAAAGAAAAAATAAAATTTTTAAATTTGATGGGAAATCTACTTTCTCTTGTTCTAAAAACTTTCTCCACGGATGGGGTTGTAGCACTTGCCTGGCACACATGAGGTCCTGGCTTCAGTCCCAAGCACTGAAAAAAAAAAAAAAACACTCCCTAAAGAATTTCTCCAGAATTACCTCTACCCTCTTCCAAAAAGCTCTGGTCCAAACATGAAAATCTGTTTAAGGCACACATGTCATGGAACTTCAGGTCATTAAAGATTATTAAATTCTCAGGGAAAAAAAAAGATGTATTTTCCAATATAATAAGAAACACGGGTCTTTAAAAAAAGAAAAGAAAAACTATTTTTGTGGGTATAAAATTTTTGAAATCTCTAAGAATGCCAGTTAACAGGGTGCTCAATATTTGAATTTAGGAGGTAGTGTGATCACAGCACTGTTTATTCTTCCAAGAAGGAATAAAATTATAAGATGTATGCACTATTTCTTCAAACACCTTAGACTCTTATAGTTCTCAAAATGCTACTAGGGTGCCCTCTGGTGTTGTTTTATGTTTTTCCATCTCTCTTTCTCTCTCTCTCTCTCTCTCTCTCTCTCTCTCTCTCTCGATTTTTTTTCCCTTTGTTTTGGTACAAGGGTTTAACCCAGATCCTCTACTCCTGTTTTTTTTTGTTTTTGTTTTTGTTTAATTTTGAGAAAGGGTCTCATCTCACTAAGGTATTTATGGCCTCACTAAGTTGCTGAGGCTAGTCTTGAACTTGGGATCCTCTTGCCTCAGCCTCCTGAGTCTCTGGGATTACAGGTGTGCACCACCATGTCCAGCTTCCTAGATGCTGTTTTCTTCAGGACAAATAATTAGGAACAGAAAACAGCAACCTTCATTTATACCATAGTGGGGGTTTGTTCTTTTTTGTTTGGTTTAGTTTTGTTTTTGTTTTTGTTTTTGGTATTCGGGGTTGAACCCAGGGGCGCTCTACCACTGAACTACATCCCCAGCCTTTTTTATTTTAAAATAGGGATCTCACCAAGTTGCCCAGGCTGACCTTGAACTTGCAAACTTCTTGCCTCAGCCTCCCAAATAGTTTGGATTACAGTTGTAGACCACTGCACCCAGCCATAGTTGACATTTTAAAGCATACTTTCATGTGTATTATTTCATCTGATTTCTTCAACACTTTCCACTATACTGTGGGGACAAGTAAATGGAGGGCTGCATACATGGCATCTGAATGGTAAGCCACTCCCCTCGTACTAGGCAGGTAAGCAGCAGACCACTTACCCTGTAGGCCCAGCCACCACGCGTTGCAGTCCCAGAACTTGCTCCAAAAGCAACCTCCTCGATTGGTCACTGCAAGGATAGTTAGCAAGAAATTGCATTGGTGGCTGCCTGTAATCTGCCTAGCTACTGCCTGAGTATATACACATGGTAAAACTGCACAATAAAATCAGACCTGCTTCCTGCTTAGTCTCCGGAGGTCTTGAATAGCGACTCCGCAGCCACACGAGAAAGAGCCCATGCACTATACCATAAGCTTCTTAAGGGCATAGCCATTGTCCTGTTCTTTGAGTGCCTTAGACCATGCACCTGTGAAGTAGGAAAGACAGAATTTATTAATTTAATTCAAAGAATGTTCCCTGTGTTATAGAACAAACATACTATTTTTCCAATTGGCTTATGAGAACCATAGTATTTGAAAGCTTGAACATTATCTTATGGATGAATGTGAACAAGTTGGGAAATGTTCTTATTCTTAGGAGATACTTGCTAAAGAAGTTAGAAGTGAATTTCATGAGATCTGCAAATGCTTTTCAAATGTTTCCTCAAAACAAGAGCGAGGTAAACAGAAAGCAAATACAGAAAAAATATTAATTGGTACATCTAGATGACGGACATAGAGGTGTTCCTTGTCCTCTTTTTCAACTTTTGAAATTTTGAAACCTTTCAAAATTAAAGATATGGTGAAGAACATTTTAACATAAAAGGTAGAGGATGGGATGCAGTAAAGTGTCTTTGCCTAGAGGCTTTGGGTTATAAACCTCCAACACTGCAAAAAAATTAAAATAAATAAGTTTGAATGAAGATCAAAATACAATCATCGCTTTTTAAATATGCCTGTTCAGGTAACCTTGGGTTAAATACCTTACGGCCAATTTCTTCCTTATGACTAAAGTTAAAATCTGTTCTCTGAAGCATCAAAAGGAAACTCAATCCCTTTGCTAGTGAAGTCAGTGGGCATGAGGCTTCTCCCCCATCATATCTTCAGTCCTAATTAAACATCTCCTTAGTATAACTCAATATGCCATGTGCAGTACAAATAATTTACCTAGTCAGAATAATATGCTAGTAAATGCTGTCTGTATTTTTTGAATCATTTTGTAGTTATCTTTCA